CGTCTACTGAAGGAGTATTAAACTGTTGTTTGGCATACAGAGCTGTTTTCAATGAGACTCACTGGGGTTCTTTATTTAGGCAACTTATCCACGCAAACAAACCACCTTGTTTTAAAATGAAAGGAGAGTCATGATCAGGTGGTGAATGGTTGTAAGTGGAAACCATCACAGATACTTCTTAGAATAGTTCTCACTATCTCAGACAACAGTGAAATGCAAATGGGGAAATAGGACCAAATGCAAAATTTCCTTTTAGACTGCATAGGAGTTGAGTGTGTCAGGACAGAGCAGAAACCATCTCTGGACCTTCTCCCATTTTGTTCCCTTGGACAACTGTTGATGTTCTGTATATGTTAGCTAAAGCGGAAGGTTTGTGCTCTCTGAGGGTGCACAGAGACATCCCTTCCCTGCTGTGATCTGAGCTCCTTTCTTGCTGGGAGCATGGCCATAGCATTCCTGGTTGGTTTTCTTTACCCTGTTGCCACATCTCCAACCCCGCTCCTGTCCTACACCGCAGCCTGAATGAACTCTAAGAATTGGATCCCGTCACTCCTCTCTTGAGAACCCTGTAGTGGTTGCCCACCATCTCTAAGGTAAAAGTCTTCGCATGTTTTACACTACCTTCAGAGTCAAGACTCCACCTGCTTCCCCAACCCCGTTTTACACCGCTCTTCCTGCACACCCCCCCACTACTGTGTTCCCACCATGCTGAACTTCTTGCCTTCTGCATAACATACTTTGCTCTTTAATATCTCCATGCTTTGCTCCTACTATTTTTCAGCCTATTGAATTCCTGTTCAGTCTTCAAAACCCAGCTAACAAGTCACCTCTTCCTGATATCCTCTCCAAATCTCCAGATAGTCACTTCTCTGTTGCTACTCCCATGGGTGATCTTAGGTCTACACTTTGCTGCTGTTTCTCATCTTGTTTGTCTATCAGTATCTCTGTACAGAGAGCTCCTACAGGAAAGGGACCATGTATCATTCAGCTTTTTATCTAAGCTTATGCCTGACATGTATTAGACCCTCCGTGAACTACTATTTGCATTTGGATAGAAAGGCTATTCAGGAACTTCAGTGATCTGGCAACGTGCCATACATATCATTCAAAAAATTTTGGAGGTTCTAAGCTGTCATTATTTGTAATTTTACAGTTGATACTTGTGGTGAGAACTTTTGTTTATGCTTGCTTTTATTCGTTTTTTTCTGGATGGTTTTATTTAGAAAGAGGATATCTGAGGCTGGAATTTGGACCAAGACCAGTGTTAAGTCTCTCAACAGGGATGTAATTTCAGTGAAAGGAGAGAGTTTCCAATGGGTAAGAAGCGAAGCCTGCTGCAATTATTTGACAATGAAAACAAAGATTAAAGTGGTGAGGGAAGCAAGGATTGTTGAGAGCTGGTTTGTCCCACTCTAGGGAAGGAGAGATGGTAGACAACCAGAGTGAGTGAGGAAGGAGGAAGAGGAGTGAGGGTGGGCATTTATTCCTCCTTCTGCAGCTTCTATTTCTTTTCCCCATGGCAAGAATTAACATTGGTGAAAGACATTTGCCCAGTTTCTGAGGAACTCCCTGTGTTCTTTCAGATGGTAATGAGTTCTGAATGATCATTGCATCTTGAAATGTAGAAAGTCACTAAAGGGAACATTATTCACTCAGAGATCTACGGAGCTTGTCACTTCACAATGGACACTATTTTAATGAGTCTTGAAACTCTTTATACTGGTCCTCTCTGCACACAGAAAGTTATAACTAACAGCCTGTTTAACCACATGCCTGCACATGCACGCACACACACAAACATGGGGTTTCACACACCCACTCTCCCACGGAGAGGTGACTCCGTTTCCTGTTGATGGATGGAGCACGTAGGTTGAGATGAACCATCTGTCTACCAAATGGCATTTCTAGTGCTTCAATCACATCTCCAATAATCACTTCCCCTAAACACATTAGTGGGAAATGATGTAAAAAATAATTAAGTGTAACTATCCATTCCATTAGAAATGGATGATATCTATGTTCTATAAACTAGAGACATGTAGGAGGAAATGACTATTCCCACAACTCGTTGTGACAGGAATGTCTCTTCATTGTTGCATAAAGTTTATCCTGGCAAGAGGAATATTTGAAAGCTTTGTAGTTCAAGGGGAAAAAGTAGAGGCTTACTTTAAATGAAAGAGAGAACTACTTATAAAAATGGAGGAGGCAGAGATACTAGGAAGTTGATGATGAAGGTGAGTAGAAAAAAGGGGTTATGCCAGTAAAACTTGCTTGTAAGAGGAATCAGATACAGTCTAGAATGGATTAGCCTGGCCTCTATGACTCATCAAAGTCAGGTTTGACATTTTGGTTCCTAATGTTGGCTTCTGACTTAGCATGCAGCATTTCTCAAATTTCCATTAACTCACCTATGAAAAAGCCCTTCTCATCCTAAAGTAAGTGGACAGTACCTTTGTTCACCACTATCCACATGGTTCAAAACACAGTGAAGAAAAGGGGGCAGTCTCTCAATTGCTCAGATACTGCTTTTTGCACAGACGAAAAATTGCCCCTTCATTTCTTCAGTGCGCTATACACATAAACACACACATTTTTGAGCAAATTTTATACTATTCTGGGACATAAACTAAGACAACTAAAGAAAATGTGTGGGAGGAGGGGAGTGTGCATGGTCTCTATCAGTGTGTACAAGCATTTTTTTTTCCTCGAGAGGTTTTTTTCGGTTTTGGTTTTGTGTTTTTTTTTTCCAATCATAAGTAAAATAATTCAGATACACATGAAAGAGGTATTCTGATAATAAGACATATTTGGAGTCACTGCCTGTGGCATTCTCCATTCGTTCAGAATAAAGAAGTCCAGGAAGGCCAGTAGATGCCTTCCCAGGCTCGATAAGGGTGCTGGCTGGGTACCTCATGGAAACAAGTAATTGGACTGGCAGCTCTGCTTATCATTTTGCTCTTTGGTTATAAAATAAGAAAACAAGGAAAAGTTGACTAGTGTTCAAAGGGACCAAAGATGGGTAACACTTATACCAACAGTTGGCTCTGGATAAAGCTCCCTTATTCAAGCTCATGAGAGAAAAAACATGAGATCCATGAGAATAGATGGGTAAAAGTTACATTATTTTGTAGATGCAGAAGAATAGCAGATCTTTGAAGATACAATACTACAGGAATCAGAAAAAAAGTTTAGGAAATTATTTGGATACTAAAAAGCTGCCAGGAAATATAGCCTCTGTGGAAAAAAAGCAGAAATCCTCAAGGATAGAATAAGCTAAAATGAAAATACAAGATAAAAAAAATAAGGATTTCAGGGACGATAAAGAAAATAAAGATAGACAAAGATTTCAGGTAAACTAAAAATACAGAATTAAATCTACATTAGAAACATTAACAATCAGAAGTTGCAAAAAGTTCAGTTTAGTGATGCAGATAATAACTTTAAAATATATTTGATGATTAGAGGAATGGAACAAATATTAAAATGGGAGTGATAACATATAGAGAAAAAGCAGTGAATAGTAATTACACTTAACAGTTATAAGAAACTGAGGAAAAATCCAGAATCATTGCTATTGAATCAATAATCAAGAACATAATTGAAGGAAATTTTGCAGAGTTTTTTTTTTTTTAAGGAGGTACTTTAATAGCAAGATATTGTGGAGGCAGAGAAGCAGATCTTACTACATTCCCAGATAGAATCAATTAAAATGACCTACATCTAAATATAAATCTGAAATCAAATATTTTACTTACTTTCTTTATAAATAAAATAATTCTATAAGCATCCTTTCAGATGGCCCCTAAATGACCCACAAATAAATAGTACTTGGCTGGCCCCAAACATTTCTTGTTTTTCTGATACTAAATAACAGAGGATAAGAGAACAAAGTTGTTGAGAAGGTAGTAAGATACAGTAATTCATATATGAAAGCAATAGGAAAATACTCTCAAATATCCTGACGTTAAATAAGTATACCACTCACAAAGCTATCCTAATAAAAAAAAACAAACTTGAAGATGTAGCTTCAGCTGGTTAAAAAAATCAGGAATGAGGATGACATGTATAAAAGCACTGGAATTTCTGCTGCCATTTGAAGTTTCTGTTCTGAGGAAATAATTTTATATGCTATGTTTATTGTTCAGAGATATGAATTGAAGCGTTATTTCTTTTAACCAAAAGTTGTAAACAAGCTAAATGTTCAACATCAAAGAAATCTTCAAGTGTTGGATCATTATTCACTGATTTAAAGTGATATTTAGAAGAATTTTAAGGTTGTGAGAAAATATTTATGATACAAAGTTAAATTAAGAAAACATGGTAGACATTTGTGTAGAATAACCTTTATTTTTTAACGTTTTTTATTGATTTGTAATCATTTTACAATGTTGTGTCAAATTCCAGTGTTCAGCACAATTTTTCAGTCATTCATGGACATATACACACTCATTGTCGCATTTTTTTCTCTGTGAGTTATCATAATAGAATAACCTTTAATAATATAAAAAACACCTAAGAAAACAGAGTGGAAGGAAATACAGTGAATGTCAACTGTGGATGCCCCTCAGGAGAGGGACTAGGATTGAGCTGTATATTTTTATGCAGTTTGTAAATTTTCTAAGAAAACCTTGAAGGTCAGGATGGAGAAGGCAGAAACAATTACAGAATTTTAGAACCTGAAAGGACTTTACTGATTGTCTACTATTGTAATTCCCAATTAGGAAGACATTTCTGCAACTCCTCAAGCAAGTTTAATGCTTCAGATAATAACAAACTGCATTTATTATACACTAGTTGTGGACTAGCCACTATGATAATTTCTTTGCATATAATCCCTCCAAGTTTAAAAAGTGTTATACATTTATTTACTCATCAAAAGGTTGAGAAACTGCATCTGAGTTCTAACAGCTGTTCTCATTGCCCTTCTTGCTCCCCACGCTTAGCGTGACCTGGTGTGTTCTTGTACTGCTAACAGCTGGCACACCTTGTTTTCACTGCAGCAGATCATACTCTACTCTGGAGAAGAGGATATGTGGAATATTTTTGCAGAAGGAGACTAGTCATGCAACACGCTTAGAGCCTGAAGCTTGAATTGGCTTTCAAATATGACTGAACAACTTAAAAGGTGGATGATTTTAGGTAAGTCAGTTAACCTTTCTGAACCTATATCCTCATAGAAGTGTTCTAAGAATTTAATTAGGTGATACATGTGGGGTGCCTGGCACATTGCCTGGCATGTAGACCTCGCTTATGTCTACTGATTCTTTCTACCCCTTCCCAGTCTTCAACACCCATACTGATGATTCATGTGATACGTTCACCTCATAATCTGAATTGAGGAGCACCCTCTGCCCCATTTTCAGACGTAATGGAACCGTTTTCCTCTGCCCTGTAACTTGCTTCAAGTGCCCTCTTTATTATGCTTTCTAATTGAACACTGAGTGCTGCAGTTCCTCTCGGCAAGAGCCCTAAGTGGCTTCCTGCTTCCTTGCAAATCTGCCTCAGATTCAACCTATTTTCTTTGCCTCTCACAATGGCAGCACTCGCCCCTGTGGAGACCTCCAGCAAGGCTGGCTAAACCATGGGGAGCAGGCAGCAGGCAGCTGCCTCACTTGCAGGACTGACATCTTTGTTCAGCTGAATGGACAGACCTCAGGGAAACAGAGGAGGAAGGTTGAGTTTGAGCTGTATTTGGCCGCAGACTGCTCCTTCAACCCTGTCTGTCTCCCGTCTTCTCACTGACTGGCATAGACCACTGAAGCCTTCAGCAATCTTCTGCTCACCCCGCCCTCCATTCTGGAACATTCTTACATCCCCGTTGTAGCTCTCCAGATGGTAGCCATCCTTTAGCCCTCCATTTCCATCCCACTCCCCCCAGGAATCACGCTCTCACTGCCCCAGCCTACCTCATTCCCTGCCTCCCGTCAGCAGCCGTGGCACTAGGGTATTTCCATTACCCAGTTGTGGTTGAGAATGAAGACTCTGGAGTCAGGCAGAGTGGATCTGAATCTTAGTTCTTTCTCTTGCTGGCTGTGCGATCTTGAGAAAGTAATCTTTTCTAAGAGTTTCCTCATTTGTAAAATAAGGATACTAATAATACATGTCTCATAGAAGTGTTATGAAGATTAAATTAAAAAACACTTAGAAACGTGCCTTGCACATAGTTTAGTGTCCAGTAAACATTTTTAAGTGACTTGCGATTTTCAAAATGAGCTCCTGTAGGACAACATTGATCATCTATCCATCCATTCATCTATCTCTCCAACACTTGGGACCCAGAGGCAAACCAGACCCAGTCCACTAGGAGCTGGCAGGCTTACCAGGGAGACAGACATGCAAGCACGTTTATTATGATATGATATATCTGAAAGGCTTAGGACTTGCCAGCTTGGAACCTGTCAGTCTTCCCCATTGATGTGACAGCTGAGACAGGGTGTCCTCATTTGGCTGCAGTGTGCTGTCTGTCCATTGCTCCTGGCTGCTCACTGAAGCCTCTTGGTCCCAGAGAAAAGCCTCGAAGTCTTGACTACACAGAAGTCTGGAGGGACCCATGCTATATCCTGATTTCAGTGCCACAGTAACCTCCTCTTTTGGTGTATAGGAAATGGAAGAACTTTTAAGCACAGTCTGCTGGAGCTTCTAGGACCTTTGCCAGGATTTTAATCCATCCGAACCAATTATTCCAAGTTGAGGGTCAGTGGACCAACTCAGGACTTGATCCTCGAATCAGACAGCAAAGGTTACAGGTCACTGTGATACCCTGTCAACACCTTCCACCTACCAGATCTGTCTAAACCATCCCCAACAAGAAGTAAATCCTACCTTTGGAAGATTTTCAGGGAAGTCAGTTCCTGGATGCCCCTTCCGATGTGAGATTAATCATAAAACCTCTGAATCATGATACAAAGATGTGAGAGCACACAAATACAGAAATCCTGTCCAATTAGCTCAGAGGCTTACAAGAGCCTGTGAGCATGGCCTTAGTCAGGGCTGTGATTCCCACATAAGCCAGCTGGCCTCCCTCTGATGCCTGCAGACCTAATGCAGATCAGACAACATGTGGTCTTCAGGGAACAGGGGAGAGCGTGGGCAGCTCTACATAGTCCCCATGACCAAAAATCAAAGGCTGTATCCTGAATTACTTCTGTGCCTTTGCCCAGAACACTCTTTCCAATTGGCACTCTACCTGGCAAGATTCCTGGTGTTCTGGAAAAACATAGCTTATATGTCCTCTCTTCTGTGAGGGTTTCCCTAGTACACCATCCGTCACCTGATGCTTCCAGTTCTGTTCAACAGACATTTATGAGGTTCTCTTTTTATGACAATGTGGACATGTCACTGCATTTTATGAGGTGTGTATATGTCTCCATGAGACTTGAACTATCTAGGGTCAGTGCCGTGTCCTTCCTGTTCTGGTGCTAAGCACGGAGTTGGAAGTAGGTGTGAATAGATAGGACTAGATGAATAGATGAGAGATCATAATTCCAGCCACACTAGTGGGGAAGGCACAGAGCTGCCATCAGCAAACAGCAAGAGGAATAGTGCCTCTGCTGGTCTCCAGGTGAGAGCTGTTGAAATGGGCAGTTTCTGACCTGAGGTGGAAGATACACTTTCAACCCCTTACTGGCTGTTTTCTCATAGAGCTTAGCAACTCTTTTACCTCCTGGCCATATGACTTTGCTTTTTCCCTCACTATCTTGCTACATTTTACAATATTTAAGCTCTCAAGCTTATCTAGCATGTCTGTAGGTGAAAATAATATATAATGGTACCATAGGGACAACAGAGATGCTGTAGATGTAAATAGGCTTAAGAGCAAAGATGATAGTAAAAAGTAGCAAAACATAAAGTGATACATTTTGAATACATAGTACCTTTGTTTTAATAAAATTTATTTAATCATAAGTTGATATAATTTGATGTTTAAAATAGCTGTGTTTAACAGCTAGCTTGGAAAATTCCTAAAAATGTAATGGTCAGCACCTGGGAGCTGGCGTGGGCGGGCTTCAGCCCCATTGTCAGCTGACTAACCCTGATCACTGCCCCCACCATCCCTCCAGGACTCCGCCCAGCAACGGGAATGCTGGGCAGGAGAACCACACTCCCGGGGCTAGAGACTTGAGCCTCAGACTTGCTCAGAAGTACCAAAAAGCAAAGAAAGTCTGGCCGTTAGAACTGCCACTCTGCCATCAGAGAGATTGGAGACTCCAGAGGCTGCGAACAGGTCTGTCCTTTATTCCCCTTGCTATAGGTCGGTTGCCGGCATTGTGGTGGGGGTTGGGCAGTCGGAGGGGCCAGGGTGACTCTGAAATGGGGATGTGTGTTCATTAGGGACGCTGTTGGAAACAACTTTTGGGAGGGAATGATGGCCGAAGACTGGACAGAGGGAGGGGTTAAACTGTGATGTAGGTGCCATGAGGGCCCCAGCTGATCCCCTGGGGAGCCCCAGCACTGTGTGGGCTCTCCATCGCTGTTCTGCTTTGAGGCAGAGGGCCAGGTCTTTGTATGCCACAATGCCCGGTCATGGGATGTGCTGTCCCTGGAGTGGAGGTGGCCTGTAGGACAGGCAGCTCTTTCTGCCCAGGGCAATGCCCGAGGAGGGGCTCAGCTGTAAGCCATCTAGCAGGCAACACTCGTGGCAGCTGGGATGGGAAATGAATTCCTTGGTCTTGCCGGGGTCTGGTCTGTGCTCCAAGCAGCCTTTACCAGAGTGGGCCCCAGAGCAGCATCGGCTGGGAACTTGTTAGATCTGCACAAGTTTTTAGGCCCCACTGCAGACCTACTGAATCAGAAACTTAAGGGGTGGGGCGAAGCATTGGTTTAACAAGCTCCCCAGGTGAGGCAGATGCTGGCTGGAGTCAGAGTAACTGCCTCTCACTGGCAATTCTCAAACTCTGGTCTTAGAACCCCTAACCTCTTAAAACTTACCTCAGACCCCAAAGAACTTTTGTTTATCTATATTTACCAGAAATTAAAACTAAGAGATTAAAAAAATAATCTATTGGTTTGTTAAAATAACAATAAAAGCCTATAATTCTATGAAAAAAATTGGTTTCAAAATTAGAAAAAATTAGTAAGAAAACGGGCATTGTTCCATGTTTTTGTGAAATTCTTCAATGTCTGGCTTAGTAGAAGACAGGTGGATTCTCATATCTACTTTTACATTCAGTCAGTCTTGACATCACACATCATGTAGCTTCTGGAAAACTCTATCGTACCCTTGTACACTTGAAAGAGAATGAGAAGGAAAAAAGCCAGATAGCATCTTAGCATTGTAAAAATAGTTTTGACCTCGTAGACCTTTAAAGTGTCCCAGGGCCCCTCACTTTGAGAACTGTTGCACCTCACCATCTCTCCTGGACCAGGTCTGATGCTATTAAATTTCCACATGTGAAGTAGTTTCGGATTGTGTCTTGGACCTTGTGAATGTCACTTGCAGAGACTCTGGATTATGTTATATCTGAAGAAGAATGTTCTTTGCTTCAGTTTTTGTTCCCTAGCAGACAGTGCACTGGGTTGGGCTCAGAAGGCAAGCTCTGTCTGTTGGGCAGCAGCTTATTAATCCGTTCCTGCTGTTCCAGTCTGTTGTCTGTGTACATGGTTCAGGGCTCAACCAGAGACCTGGGCAGCATTTAAACACAGGATTTGGGGCTCTGTCCTTTCTGAGTGCCTCCCTCACTTTCCAGCAGCCATGGTTGTCCCACCTCAGTTCTCTGGTTTCCGCTGGAGTTTTAGCTGCATGGAGTGTTGATTTCAGCTTGCCCTCAGGCTAAAACTCCCCACAAAAATCTCGACCTCCTGATGCCTTTTTTGTTAGAACTGACATCTCCCCTTGAGAATCTGCCTGATCTTTGTCACCTACTGATGCCTTTGGATCATTGTTTTGTGGTGTTTTTTTAGGTCTGGGTGTTATTTGCAGGAGGGTAGCATGGTCAGGAGCTACCTGGTCACAGGGGAGAGTAAGGGGCACGGGACATTGCGGGGGACATTCTCAAGCCTCCTCCTTCCCTACTCAGAGGGAAGAGTACTTAAAGTAGCTTCTAGGACCCTGTGAGTAGAATTGCTGTGAGATGACACTCGGTACATGGGCATGATTCACTTTCTAGCTGCTTCCCTTCCTGTGGCAAAGGGCCAGGCAGACACAGGTCTGCTCCGTCCTGTGGATTCAGCCAATCACTGTTTCTCTCTGGATGCTCTTCTTTCTCCAGCTTGGCCCCGGGCCCAGGACAATCTGCATCAGCTGAGGTCCAGGCTGGCTCCGGGCTGAGGGCTGGGACCCTCTCTGGTGCTGTCACTTCTCTCTGGTTGCATTCTTCGTGTTGATGGGTTTTATACTGGATCAGCCTTTGGGCTGTAGCTGTTTAGACATAACTGGCTTAGGAGAAAGATACCTACCAGGTTACCAGAGTTCTCTGTTTTGGGGTCTGAGGCAAAAACCACTGCTGATAATACATCATTTTGTTGTGTTTGCTGTGTTTTCTTTTTGCCAGGCATTTCCCCACGTTTGTCTCTCTCTCTGAGACCTCAGAGGGAGGAAAGTTGACTGGCAGGGTAGGATTAAGGAGTCCCCAAGTGCTTAGCAAAAATAGTATCTAACAGTACCCCAAAGTCACCCTCAGTGCCACCTGCAGACACCATTGAAATTTGTCAGGCTTGTGCTTTCTCTCATGACACAGCCCAGAGTCACAGAATCTGAAGGACTGAAGCAGAGTCCAGAGTCTATAGACATGGAAGACCTTACTCAGGACTTGAGGCTTACCCCAGCCTCATGTGTCAGGGCACTTACCAGGTGTTACAGTGCGTGACGTCCTGGGCTGTAGGTGTCTCCTTTCACACCTGGCTCCTCTGCTGGACTAGAAGAACCTCAGCTTCCAGGAGCACATCTTTCTTCCCTTTTACCATCTTGGTGCACATTGTTCTGTTTCTGTTCTTGAACTCAACATGCCCAGGAATCAGGCAGATTAGTTCTATTTCAAATCCTTGCCACAGAAGCTGAAAGAGCCTGGCAGCACCGTTCAGTGTGATCCCTATTCCAGTCTAGGTGACCCTCCTCCCCCAGCCCCGCAGCACCTCTCTACACCTTCCTTCCCTGCCAGGGACCCCGCTGCCACCCTCGGCCCCCTCTCTCAGGGATGATCGCAGGCCTCCTTCCCTAACAGCCTCTCCTCTTCCCTGCCTAAAGCTTGTGTTCTCTGTACCAGTCAGGGTCCTAGTAGTGAAAAAATGGCATATTCAAGCCGGATAACTTAGGGAGAATTTGATAAGGGGATGTTTGACAAAGGTACAGTCAAGGTTTAAAGAAAAATTGAGGGAGAATGCAGTCTCCAGGACTGGAGAGGGAGCTCTGTGGTGTGGATAGGAACTGGTATGGGGAAAAGGGACACAGCCAACCTGCGGGCCACCCAACAGAGAGAGAAGTGAGGCAAGACATCCCAGCATCTCTCTCCTCCTGTCTTCTGATCTGCAGTTGGCTTCACTGCAAAAGATAACTACAGACATCTTCCACTGCAGGCGTAACTCAACCAGAGCCAGCAGGCAAGAGAGCATGTTGAAGCAACATACAGGGGGGCAGGGTGCTGAAGAGGGATGGGAGATGGGCCTGGAGGAGCAAAGAGAGCATCACCCAAGACACTCTTCATCTCATTCTACTTTCTTTCCTGCTAACTCAGGAAAAGGAATAGAGGGACTGCTTTATTCCATTGACAGTAGCACAGCATAATGGATGGACATTTTTGTTTTTGTCTTACCTGCTTCATGATGTTGAGCAAACCACTTAATCTGTATGCATCTCGGTTTCCACCTCTGCAAAATGATAATAATACAGGTTTTTTTTATGAGGCTGCTGTGGTGAGTATAAAGCTCATAGGCTGAGGCCTATCACATAGGAAGCCTCAATAAATGGCAAATATCCTTTCCAGGACAACCTTTTCTTGTGTGCCCTTAATCATATCCATACTCCCTCTTGCTTTTGCAGCTTCGTTCTCTCCAAGGATTTCTTCCCTTTTGTCTGCAAATATGTCTGGATAGCCCTTTTCCTAATTCAACTTCAGTTCAGTTCACAAAAATTAGTGCATTGATGGGTCTTATCGAAGAGCTGGGTACTCCTGGAGGGACAGAAGGCTGGTATGGTGCACAGCCTTCGACCAGCAACATGCCCTTCATTTGTGGTCAACACAGGGGCCACAAGCAGCAGGTTATCTCAGGTATCTGATTGGCTTTGACTGCAGGAACCCAGGTGGAGGGTGATGTTTGTTAGCCGAGGCAGTACCAAAATTGGGCATCCCATCCGGTCAGCAATGATTGTGTTGAGTTTTCCAGCAGAGAGGGAGCAAAAGAGAAATCTGAAAAAGGCTGCCTGTCTTTGGGTGTGATTAGTTGTGAAGTGTGTGTTCATGGTTTATTGGCCTTTTCCATTTATGTACTGAGTGTAAACAGTCCTTAGGCCCTGAGAGCCAGGAGAGGCCCCTTATTGGCGATGTGATAAGAAAGTCATAGCCCTTAAGTAGACATCTAGTCACCGTCTGGGTTAGTAGCCAGTAAATGATGTAAACAGACAGCGCCCAGATGCCCTCTCTGTGAGTTTGCTGGGGCTGCTGTAACAGCACTACAGGTGGGATGGCTTACATGGCAGAAATGGACTGTCTCACAGTTCTGGGGCTGGATGTCCAAAATCAGTGTGTCAGCAGGGTTGCTCCTTCTGAGGGCTGTGAAGGGAGGCCCTGGTCCAGGCCTCTCTCCTTGGCTTGAAGATGGCCGTCTTCTCTCTGTATCTCTCCACGTCGTCCTCCCTCTGTGTGTATCTCTGGTCCACATTTCCCCTTTTTATGAGGACACAGGTCGTATTGGATTAGTCACCCTCATGACCTTATTTAATTGGATTACTTCTGCAAAGACCCTTTCTCAAAATAAGGTCACTGTTTTAGGTCCTAGGGGTTTGGCTTTCAATATATGAATTTTTTAGGTGGGACACAGTTCAACCCATAACACCCTCTAATGGCTCTTGAGTCAATGGAATAAATATATCTAGAAGATTCTCAGGTTGGTCACATCTCCATAGTTAATTTTCTAACCCATTTTCCTGCAAAGGGCAAACACCTTTTCCATTCTCCTTTGTGATTTTTTTGGGTAGTGCCTGTGCATGCCAGATGGATTAAAGAATTCACACGCAGTGCGGGCATGTTGACCACACTGGCCTTTTCCCTTTGCACAAATCAGAGCA